AAAATTCAAATTTCCTTTTATTGACGTGACATAAAACCGGGAATTTTTTGGGGGGAAAACTCTGGAATTTGGGGATTTTTTTAGGATTTGGGAATTCAGGGAGATCTCCCAAATATCCAAACCCCCCAAAATTTGGGATAAACTTAAATTCCACCAAAATTCCCCAAAAAATCAACACAACTCCACCGAAATTCTTAAATTTCTTTTTATTGACGCGACCGAGAACGACGGCGATTTTTTTGGGGGGGAAAAACTCTGGAATTTGGGGATTTTTTTTTTTTTCCTTCAGGGAATTGTGGGGAGGGGGATCCCTGCTCACCTGAGCAGGTGGAAGGTGAGCCAGTACATGAAGAGGGGCTGGGCAGCAGCGATGGCCATGGTCAGGTACATGCGCAGCTGATTCTTGGCCCCGCGCACCAGGACGCCCTCGGCCGCCGCCTCCGACAGCAGCTTCAGCCTCAGCGTCCGGATCTGGGGGAAATTTGGGGAAAATTTGGGATTTAGAACATTGGGATCAACATTTTGGGGTCGAAAATCCCGAAATTCCCACAAAAATCCCATAAAAATCCCACTAAAAACACCCAAAATTGGCTCAGAATCGGCCCCAAAATCCCCTCGGCCGCCGCCTCCGACAGCAGCTTCAGCTTCAGCGTCCGGATCTGGGGGAATTTGGGGAAAATTTGGGGTTTAGAACATTGGGATCAACACTTTGGGGTCGAAAATGCAGAAATTCCCACAAAAATCCCATAAAAATCCCATTAAAAACACCCAAAATTGACACAAAATCCCCTCGGCCGCCGCCTCCGACAGCAGCTTCAGCCTCAGCGTCCGGATCTGGGGGAAATTGGGGGAAAATTTGGGATTCAGAACATTGGGATCAACACTTTGGGTCCTAAAAATCCCCTAAAATGCAAAAAATCCCTTAAAAATCCCATTAAAAACACCCAAAATCCGCCCCCAAATCCCCTCGGCCGCCGCCTCTGACAGCAGCTTCAGCCTCAGCGTCCGGATCTGGGGGAAATTTGGGGAAAATTTGGGATTTAGAACATTGGGATCAACACTTTGGGACCTAAAAATCCCCTAAAATGCAAAAAATCCTACAAAAATCCCATTAAAAACACCCAAAATTGACACAAAAATCCCATTAAAAACACCCAAAATCCGCCCCCAAATCCCCTCGGTCGAAAACTCCCAGAGCAGCTTCAGCCTCAGTGTCTGGATTTGGGGAAATTTGGGAAAAATTTGGGATTCAGAACATTGGGATCAACATCTTGGGGTCGAAAATCCCGAAATTCCCAGAAAAATCCCATAAAAATCCCATTAAAAACACCCAAAATCCGCCCCCAAATCCCCTCGGTTGAAAATTCCCAGAGCAGCTTCAGCCTCAGCGTCCGGATTTGGGAAAATTTGGGGAAAATTTGGGATTTTAAACATTGGGATCAACACTTTGGGTCCTAAAAATCCCCTAAAATGCAAAAAATCCCATAAAAATCCCATTAAAAACAACAAAAATCTCATTAAAAAACAACAAAAACGCCACAAAAAAAACACAACAAAAATCAGCGAAATGAGCGAATTCCTGGGAATTTCTCCATTCCAAAAAATCCCAAAAAATTCCCAAAAAATTTTAAAAATCCCTAAAAAATCCCAAGAAATCCAAAAACCAAAAAAATCAGAGAATAAACCTGAAATTCTGAGCGTTGTTTGAAGGAGTGCAACGAAATTTTTGATTTTCAGGAAATTCTGAGCGAATTCTTGGGAATTTCCCCAATCTAAAAAATCCCCAAAAATTCTAAAAAATTCCAAAAAATCCCCCAAAAATCCCCAAAAAATCCCAAAAAATCCAAAAAACCAAAAAAATCAGAGAATAAACCTGAAATTCTGAGCGTTGTTTGAAGGAGTTCAACGAAATTTTTGATTTTCTGGAAATTCTGAGCGAATTCTTGGGAATTTCTGCAATCTAAAAAATCCCAAAAAATTCTAAAAAATTCCCAAAAAATCCCAAAATTCCCCAAAAATCCCCAAACTCACCATAAAGATAAAAATGCTGAGGCAGCACCAGCTGAGGGCCACGTAATACCCGACCCTGCCCAGGAGCAGCCCGGCCACGAGCCCCACGATCATCCTGGAAAAAAACACAAAAAAATTGGAATTTTTATCTGGAAAAACCAGGGGGAAATGGCAAAAAATGGGGGAAAATGTTTAAAAAAAACCCGGGGAAAATCGGCCCAAAAATGGGGGAGAAATCAAAAAAAAATGGCCAAAAAAATGGAATTTTTACGTGGAAAAACGAGGGGGAAATGGTAAAAAATGGGGAAAAAATGTTGGAAAAAAATGGGAAAAATTGCCCCAAAAATGGGGGAGATATAAAAAAAAATGGCCAAAAAAAATGGAATTTTTATGTGGAAAAATGAGGGGGAAATGGTAAAAAATGGGGAAAAATGTTTAAAAAAAAACCAGAAAAATTCCCAAAAAATGGGTGGGAAATCCCCCAAAAAATCACCAAAAAAATTGGAATTTTTACCTGGAAAAACGAGGGGGAAATGGCAAAAAATG